TTTCAAAAAGCTACGCTGTCCTTTCTTTTTGGAGGGCTAGAGAGATAAGTGAGCAACTAGCAGCATCCACAAGGAGGGGCCGAGCCATCTGAAAAGACATTTCCTGCAAGGCTTCTTCCACCTTCCTTGTGCAGCTTGTGCTGATGGTGCATCTGCCCCACTGACAAAGGCAACTCAGGCCATCATCAATTCTGGGATGTGTCACTAGTCCCCAAGCTGTCACAGTAACAGACAGACCAAAGGACCAGCCACAGGGAAGATGAGCAGGGCCTCTGCTCCGCCACACACACTCCCCACCACAGAAAGACAGTTTCACATAAAACCAAGTTCCAGTGGCCCAGTACTCTAGGATGGCAGATGTGACTCCTCAGGCTATAATATGGATTCCAGGAGGCTCCAGATATTTTTTTTAGGGCAGGGGAAATGATTTTAAAGCAAAATAAAACAGGAACAATACTACATAGAACTTCCTGGCTGCAAAGACAGTCAAATCTAAGTCTAGGAAAGTACATGCCTAACCTCCCCTGCCTCTAACCATGGCTGCTGGTTGACAAGACCACCGCCACTGGACCGAAGGCCTGGTTAGCTGAGACTTACTGATTCATCTACCCACAGGCGCTACACCCCCACCTCTCCATCTGCGCTCTTTCAGAAAGGCAGCTTTTCTGCTCTTGCAAGGTAATTCTCATTCTCAGTTTCTTCTAACACACACAGCCGCCCCCACCTTCCTCAGGCACAGACATCGATAAAGTGACAAGTTTTCGCTCCTCTGTCCCCCGCCACAAAAATACCTAAATAAATAAGTTACAATCAGAGACACAAGGGGCCAGAAGAGATGGGGGTTTGTTTCCAGTGCCAGCCCCACAAATGTGACCCATGGTGCTTTTTACCAAGTTCCTTCTCTAGCTCACCAGGGGCCGCTCCCTGCACTCCCCTTCCTGGCTGGTACCTCCTGCCCACCCACACCTGGGTACTCCACATCTCTATACTTTTGTGCATGTTCCTCTCTCTACCAAGAAGGCCAATTCTCCTTCTTCTCTGGATAATTTCCACTAATTCACCAGACTCAGCAGAGGCCCTCCCTCCCTGCAGGAGGCCATCCCTGACCCTCCTCACTCCAGCCCCATCTATGCCAGGCCTTTGCCTCTGGGGGGCCACAGCACCCTCTAAAGAGAGCACCACCAAATCATTGATAACCGATCGTTTCCATCAGCCAGAGATAAATATCTGCAGAATGTCCATCAGGCACGGTATTACAACAGAGCTTCCCACAGTACCAACAACACCTACTGGGTCCCTAGCACCCAGAGAGGAAAGACATATCCAAGGTACCACAACCAGCAACTGCTGAGCTGAACTGAGGACGTAATCGGATGAAAGCCAGTGGGGAAACGTGCCTCAAATACTTATTAACCCTTAGTACTAGAGGCCTGGCTGCTGGGATTATTCCTAGATCCTCCGTGACTTCTCTGACCATGTCACCCACTAACCTTCCCAGTGGACCTTCTGCTCTGGGCAGGCCTGGCCTTCTGCACTCTTGCAAATGCCAGTGACTTTTCTTTGAGCTACTGGGTCTGCGGCTCCCCCAGGCTGAAATGCGATCCCTGTACCATTCTTTCCTTTGTCCATCCAAATCCCTAGTTACTAAAAAAAAGGAGAAAAATTTAAAAGGGGTTAAATGTTCTTTAAAAAAAAAAAAAAAAGTTCCACATCCTCCCTGAAGCTCTTCTAAAAAATAGGCTCACACTGTTCTCTCCCAACTGAACTGCAAAATAAAATTATTAACATATACAATATCATGTTTTAGGCATCACTTGTCTTAATATAGCACAGTAGAAAGAGCACTAGGCAGCCGGGTGCGGTGGCCCACACCTGTAATTCCAGCACTTCAGGAGGCCGAGGCAGGTGGATCACCTGAGGTCAAGAGTTCAAGACCAGACTGGCCAACATGGTGAAAACCCATCTCTACTAAAAATACAAAAATTAGCCAGGCGTGGCGGCGGGCACCTGTAATCCCAGCTACTTGGGAGGCTGAGGCGGGGGAACTGCTTGAACCCAGGAGGCGTAGGTTGCAGCCACTGCACTCCAGCCTGGGCAACAAGAGTGAAATTCTATTTCTAAATAAATAAATAATAAATAGCGAGCACGGGGCTTCAGCCCAGAAAATGTGATTTCTATTCCTGGTTCCCCACGAAATGATTCTGGGCAGGCTATCTCTCTGAGCCTTGGTGTCTCCTCTGTGGAAAGGGTAAATTAATGCCCTGCTTACCTCACAGAGCTTATTTTCAGACTCCAGTGAGGCAAAGTTGTTAAAGTCTTCACAGCACACAGAGCTTGTTTTGAGACTCCAATGGAACAAGATGTGAAAGAACTCACATTTGAAAGTCTTTTGCAAACGTAACGAAATGATATTATGCCCTAATAGTATTCTTGTGGTAAGCCCTTTGAAGGCAGGATCCATGCCTTGATTCTCATTTACTGCGCCCGCCCGCCCCCCACCTAACGGAGTGCTTATGCATGGAAGGGGCGACATTCGACACCCATGGACTCTAGAACTTGAATGTCTATTAATGTTATGATCTGGAATATCTCCATTACAAGCTCCTTTCCACTGGGCTTAAACAAAATTTCCCCCAGAAAAAAAGGTCCAGTAGTCTTTTATGAAATGGCTGTCTACGGTGAACCAGGATACAGTCACGACCCTCAACATGGCTGGAACATCCTGTATTTGCCTCCAACTCTATGAGGGCCAGGACATCCCTGATCCTGCTCTCCATTTTGGCCTCCCACTTAATTCCCTTCCAAGGTCTTTATACACAAATCCATTATGAGGCCTCTAAATACATCCTAAATGCTGTAAGCCCTCTGCAAATAAGATCTTACATTCTGAAAAAACCAGTATAATTGTTCTCCTATGTAAGGAAGGGGCCTCTATATTTTTAGTTTTCTTCCCATACAACAAACACTATTAATACCATCGTACTTTCTCTAGAGATGATATGGATTAGACCAAACGGAAAGTTACCATGGCTACCGCAGTGTTATTTTTGGTATGAGAAATTCATGCCAAGGGAAGCAGTATACATGGTCAAGAATTGGAGCATTATTTCCTCTTTGCTATCAGGCAATCAATCCCAATTTAATTTTGAAACTCTAATTGCAAAGGAAACTAATTATGAGCAGCAAGATTTGAAACCCCTAATTGAAGTGCGAGTCAATAAAGTGATTTGGCATTATCAACTGGGGCGCCACTGGCAGGATGGGGGATTAGGTACAAGTAGATTTCTTTCCCAAGTAACTAGCTAAGCCAAATAAAACAGGGAGACTCATTTTGAGGGTGCAGTTGGGGAACCCTAAGTTGGGACTGAGGGCTACAGTTTCCAGCAAGTGAGCAGGTCAGGCCTTCTCTCTGTGCTATGAAGACTTCGACAAACTGGGAATGGAGTAGGAAGTCTGGCTGGAAAGAAGACTATTTCTACCAATAGTCAACCACTGAGAGTGGCCACAGTGGAGAGGGAGAGAGTGGACAGGCTGAAGGACAGCCCGTTCCGACTAAGCCCATATATTAAGTGGCGTTTTCTACACATTATGCAGGCTTGGGGCTGTAACTGCAGAAAAACAGGGGTGCCCAAACAGAATCTCATCCCTCAGACACAGATATTTATAGGCTGACCCCCTCATATACCCAATGCTGAGTTGCACTTTTCTGAATTAGCAGAAGTTGGCTTGTGGAAGAACTTCTGTTAGAGTGAAACCTGCTGCCAATCCCTGAAGTGCACATACCCTTTGGACCTCTCAGTCTATCTTGGAAGCTTTAAAATACTGTTAATGGCATGACTTCATCTGCCCCACACTAGAACGATCCATATTTAGGCCAGAAACCACATGGACCTTGCATCACTCCACGGGGCTCCAGGACAGAAAGGGGCTCGAGTCAGGAAGGGAACACTTCTAACCAATAATTAATTACTCATCCTCTGTCAAATTTCTTGACAAAGGGACAAAAATGAACACTCCTACCAGAGAGCAAAATCAGCAGAAGCTCATCCTTTCCCCACTCTGTATGTTTTTATGCAGAAAGGTTTTCTCCCACTAACAGGTGGTTTTTCTGATTTTTTAAAAAAAGCATATTGAGAAGAAGGAAGCATCATAACCCTGTTGCAGGCTTTTCAAAGGTAATGCATAAGCCAGTCCCACAGGAAAGGGAGCTCTGCTTCAGGGAGGGAAGGATTCCTTCAGAGCTTTCAGAGTCCAATTTACCAGGAATAAATGAGGTCTGTAGGCAAGGTTGGGCCAACAGGCTTTTTCCAAGGCAGGCAAACCCCAAGATCAACGAAAGCCTATATTAATCTTAGTTCCTAGTGCGTCACAGGCAGGCAACATAGAACACAGCCCTCATCTTGAATCAGCCAAAGGAGGTTCTCTGAATATTTTCATCAAAATAGTGTATTGACATACAAAGCTCTTGGCACTGGTGTCTTATGACAAATGTTAAAATGTGAGCAGTAAAGACAACAGTTGTGAACTCTGAGATGTTTTGAAACCTGGCTGCAATTTAAAAGAAAATATTTTGTGGCTTCTGTACATTATATACATTATTGATACCTAATGGACCAGCAGGATAAACAAAGAAAAGGGCTCAGCCACCTTGCATTCGGTAGAAATGAAGGAAGAGAGACAGAGACAAAAAAGAGAAAGAAGAAAAATATCTCTGTCTTATTGAGCTACTTTAGCATAAAATTTCAGCCTAAGGAAAACTTAGGCTGAAAAACAGCTTCAGCCCAAAACACACAGGGAGCCCGCCCCATTCTGTGCCACTGGGCTCTGATTCCAGGGGAGGTATACCACTAGGGGCTTTTGAAAACCCGTCAGTCAAGGAAAGCACCTCTGTTTTTACAACCAGCAAGCTGCAAACTTTTTCTATTGCCCTCTAGGGAACTAATTCTTTCAGGGCCCCCCGAAAGAGTTATACATGTACTTTATTTCCAAACCAAACCTACCTTGACTCCAATGAAAGACTTGCGGTGATAGAAGCAGCACAGAGCTGCCGAGAGGGCGTGGAAAGCATTGCATTCCTTAGGCATCTTTCAGTCTTCAGTCCCGGGAACCACACACTTTCTTTAGGGTCAAAATAAAAGGGGTTTCAGATGTAAAAGCCCTAGCCCACCACAGCAGCTGTGCTGCTTCTGCCTGGAAGTCGGGGAAGTCGGCAGGCAGGGGAGTGAGTCGGCTCCTTCTCCCGGGCTAGTCTGGGACTTTTCCCCTCTGCTAAAGCCAATACGATCCACTCGCTCAATTCTCGCAGGCTGGTGTCCAGCCTGCCATGCACACAGTGCCAGAAATTCTCATGTGACCAGACTTGCTTTCTGATGAAATTCTAACCCCTCTTAGAAGAGGCCTTAGGCTTTAGCTGTCCCCTCAATTTAGAGACCAGGCAGAAATCATTAGCGTCCGTCTTCTTGCCCCCCAGTATTTTCTTCTGAGGCTGAACTGTACCATGCAACCTGCTCCTAGTGGTTCTGTTTGCTTGTCACTTCAGCACCCAGGGGTTTAAGGAAGCAGGGCAAGTTGTACATATCACACCACCTTGTCATGAACAGAGGCTCCTTTGAGAAAAGGAGGTGGCCTCAAAGTGACTTTCCCTAGGAGCAATCCTAGATGTCCTAAGTAACCCAGGCAGGATCCCTGTCTTCACTCTCCCAAGCCCACCTCTAGAGCTGTTTATTTTTAATTAAGATGCTCCTGGCAGCCAGTTTGCAGCTGATAACGTTGGCACAGCCATCACTATTGGCAAAGCAATATTGCCTTTTGGGTTTAATTAGCAAGTCTGTCAGCAAACACCCAGAGTGCCTTATGCCCTCCCACCTGGCTGTGCAACCTGTTGGGAGGATGGGGACTATGTACCTCCTCCTGACTCAACTGTTTGTCCTACGCCCTCCTTTAAATCCTTCACTTTAATTACTCGTCACCACTCTGATTACCCACTTTGCGTAACCTGGATCCTGCACACAAACCTCGCATCCAACACAGCCAGGCAAGGCCCTCCTGGGTTCCCTGCAATGTGAGTCCTCTACCCCTACCAAGAGCTGCATAACCTTTAGGGAAAACTAATTGCTTTTCCTCTTTCATTCCAGTTATAGTGGCTGCTCCACGAATCTTTTTTGTTTTTTAAAATCAAATCCAGGTTTCTGCCTGTCGCTCTTCCTCTCCTATCCTACTGCTCCAAATACTAACTTTTTGTGGCTTGGGCCACTCAAAACTGGAATGTGTCCTGAAGCTTTCTAAAACTTCACACAGGTAGAAACTTGTAATGAGGAAGAAACAAAACCTATTCAGTCCAGAAAGGAACAATATCAGATGGGGCGTGAGGGAGGTATGAGAAATATCCAATGGAATTAGCATCAAATCCTCAAGAGACTCGGCTTTTGGACTAGGCCAAGTCTGCTTGCAAAAATAGGAAATTGTTTGTTCTGTGCCCAGTGAGCAGGTATGGAGAGCCCATGCAAGGGCAAGGGCCTGGCCTAACCAATGTGTAGATATGGGGATGGAGCTGCTAAGTGAGGTTCTAACACCACAGGCCCAAGCGTGGGCGATGACTTCCTTTCTGCTCCTTCAGCTGCTTTCCTCCCTCACTCCTTCTCCTCTCTGACTCTGGAGGTCTGGTCTAAAGCCCTAAGGGCTCCCAGGCCACAGAAAGTCCACCAGAGAACCTAGAAGGAAGCACCAAGGGTGGCAGAACTCAGAAGGGTTTTCTGAGCTGAAAGAGCTCTTGAAAACTGTCTGGTCAGTGGGTCTCTACTGTCCTCCAAGGTTCAGCACTGCACCTGTGAGGAAGTGTTTTCTGGCTTGCCCTCCTTTCTGTTAGATGGGGTTCAAAGGGTAAGTGCATGTGAGCAGCCAGGCCAGGTCCCAGCAGTGCTGTGGTCATGACTCATCAATCAGGCCTTGAGCCACCACAGAGGTGGCCATTTTTACCTGGTATTCTCCTTTGAGAGAAAATAGCAATTCCTTCAAGCTAAAAACCTCCCCAAGAGGCTAGAAAGGTACCATCCCAGGCCGGGGAAAAGGGAGGGGAGCAGTGCCTGAAATCCTGCACAGAAATCCAGTGAGATCAATCAGCCAAGAGCTTTTGAAGCCCAGGCACCCTTCCCCCAGAAATCATGAATGCAATGCATTCCTGAAAGTAATATGCAAATAACTCAGACATGTAAATCACACAGAATTACAAATAAAGTGCTCCAGAGCCAGGGTAAAAACAAAACCAAAGACACTTAGGCCACTGTGGAATCACAGCCCTGGTTACCTGAGGATTTCTCTGTTTATTCTAAGAAATATCTCCAAAATACCCAAAGAATTTGTTCCACCAGGATTAAATAATGGACTAATCTTATTAGGTAACTGTTTTCTAAGCACTTTTATTTTTATTCCACACCAAAAATAATTTCTGAAGCAGCACTCAAAGGTTTTAATCAATTTTCTCCTGAAACGGTCAAGGAGAGAGACTAAAATAACGTGTTGTTTTTCTAACTAAAGATGACAATTGCATAAACTCTCAAAGTGTCCTTCACTGCCTTGTTAAGCTTTAAAACATCACCTATTTACACTGATCAATTCCTTCCATTCTCCCCACAATGATTATTCTGGTTACAAAGAAATAGAGGACTAGACCAATATGCCACTCAGCAGAGAACAAAGGGCTAGGGACTCCAACCTCAGACTGCAGAACCTGGTATCTGATCACATAGAAACACAAATAGATTTTTAAATGTCCTATAATTAAACCTGTTACACAGACCCATGAAAGGGCTGTGACCTGGGGCAGTGGGCCACTTTCTAATAATCTGGTGCATGGAATTGGGGACTCATCAAATTTGGATGCAGGGCTTTCTAAACACCATGCCCCTTTGGGGACAGGGGAGGGCATTTCTAAGGAACTCCCAGGGACTGAGGAAGGGAGGGGCCCAGTCAGGCAGCTCTGAGCTCTGGAAAAGGTCTGGAAGGGTGAGCACCACTACCCCTCTCTGGCTGCCTGGAAGGCATGCCCCTCAGCACCGGCGGTACCGAGGGAACAGCTGTGATTAAAGCCAGGGCTGGGAAGCCAGGTAGGTCCTTGAAGGAAACCTCCATTAGCTCAGGTCAAATGTTGCTCACCCCCTAATTCAAAAAGAGGGTTAAAGCAAGCCAGAGGAAGACCCCTGCATAAGCACTGCCCTCAATGCCAGTTTTTCCTTGGGCAGCCCTAATACTAACTTTCCCTGTTTAGTAACCATGGAAACAGGAGCTGCCTGCCAGACATATTCAGCAGACACATGCTTCCTGTTGGCAGCAGTCCCTCAGCTGAGAAGGACCAAGAGAGTGAGTGCAGGGTACTTTTCCCAAAGCGCCACAGCTCCCGCTAGAAGGTCAGGCTCCCAGTGAGGTAGACCCTCTCTCCAACAAGGAATGGAGGGAGATGGTGGGAGAAAGACATGCCTGCCAGGTACCTACTTTTCAGTGTTTCAGCACATCTGGAACACAATTCTGCCCATAGCCCCAAACCCTCCCCAAAGCTCCCCAGAATCAGGGCATCAAGGCTTATACTGAGGCACTATTGGGCTTTGTCAAGCAGCCCCATGGACAGTGACTCTGCCCATGGCTGAGGACAGTGACTCACCCCAGGCTTCAAGGCCTGGCTCGTTCCTGCCCAAAGGGATGTCAGTCAGGGGTGAATACCAGTCATCATGATCAAAACAGCTCAAAACATCTTGTGGCAACTACTAAGATCCTTGATCCTACTCCCTCTCCCCCAAAGATCAATGCTTTCTGGCTTTTTGCTTCCCCTAAACACCAGTGATCTGGCTCTCAGTGAACAAAGACAGCTTTAATGAGCTAGGGCATGAGGCTGATGGAACCAGCTCCATCTCTCCTCATGCCCCAGGAAGTAGGCAATGATTAGCCTGGACCTTGCCCGGCCCAGCACCAGCCTGGTGTCACAGGGAGGAGACCCTCTGCATATTTGGCTCCCTAGAGAGCAGTGTGGCAGGTGCCTGGCAAGCCCTAGGCAGAAAAGGAGGCAAGCTGATCTGCAGCCCTGCTTCTCAAGACTTCCCCAGTACCCACCCTGTCTCTGCCTGATTCTGAACAAATAAGCCAGGGGCCCAGACGCTTTCCCACAAAGAGCAAGAGGGCCTCAGGGAGAAGAGCTGGGAAACCAGGGAGGACAGGAGGAGAGGACTTTGCACAAGAGGTCAGCTCCTCTTCCAGCCAGGCTGAGTAGCTATGGAAGCTGCCAAAGACAGTTCCACACATTTTCCTATATGCAAATCTGATTGATTTCTTGCTCCAAAAGGGAATGCAAACGAGACTCTGGCCCCCTTTGTGTATTGCTGTGGACAAGATGTTCGCCTGCCCTGGTGAACAGAGGGTGCATTTAGGAGTGTTTGCTGTATATATCCTGGTCTGACAGTTTCCCCAGATTCCTCAAGGGGATGAAAGTATGGCTGTTAAATGGTCTCTATCCGGAAGCAGTATTGATCTGCCTAGCACACAAACAGACACTAAGTACAGTCCACAGCAGATTTCTCTCTGCTGGGCCTTCTGTCTTCCCTTACAAATTTCTGTTTCTCTAACTAGCTATTAAAATTGTATAACTGAGTAATGTGAAGCAAAATTATGCACTCTGCTCTGTTTTGCTTTCTTATGCTATCACACACAATTCTGCCCCGTGCACCTCTCTACCACTACAACGTAGTTCCTGGTGTCACCCCAAAAATCCTGTAGTACACAAGCTCAATTTTCTGTTTTTAGCATTAAGGCAAAAAAGAAAAAAAAGAACACATGCAGGACATAATCCCAAGCTCTCAAATGGCAGACTCACTATCTGACAATCTTGGCCTTCTCTGAGATTCGATGAAAGCCAGTGACCCTCCTTCTAGAGCAAAAGACACTTACTTGCAATGCTTTACTATTAGAGCTTATCCAACGTGCCTTATTTTGTTGTTGTTGATGTTCCATTTTGTTCTGTTTTAGGTATTTAACAGCCTGAAGCCATGGGGGTTTTTTTGTTGTTGGTTTTTTTTTTTTTTTTTTTTTTTTTGAGACGTACTCTCGATCTGTCACCAGGCTGGAGTGCAATGGTGTGATCTCGGCCCATTGCAACCTCCCCCTCCTGGGTTGAAGCGACTCCTCTGCTTCAGCCTCCCAGGTGGCTGGGATTACAGGCATGTGGCACCACACCCGGCTAATTTTTTTTTTTTTTGTACTTTAGTAGAGACGGGGTTTCACCATGTTGGCCAGGATGGTCTTGATCTCCTGACCTCGTGATCCACCCACCTTGGCCTCCCAAACTGCTGGGATTATAGGCATGAGCCACCACGCCTGGCCGAAGCCATGGTTTTCAGTTTCTGTCTCTAGTGACAAGTGGAAAAAAGGGATGAAGGGGCTTTACTGGTCCAACCAGAAACAGAAACTGAGAACCCATTCTCCTTCTTGGACACCTCTGCTTCAGGGGATCCTTGTATCCACTAAAGCCCATCCATAAACCCCTTGGAGTCTTATCCATCCATGATGATTCACCACCTACTTCCCAAGATTCCGTTTCTTCTACACTTACTATGCAAACAATTACAGCTGGGGTAATCACTTACTTCCCCTGCCATCTCAGCTCCTGGGTTTTCTTTGCTGTACACTCTTCTCTTTCCCTTTCCTTCCACTTTTGGTAGGCATGAGCTATGTGAGCAACTAATAGGCAAACACCACAAAGCCCTTCAGAGGTCCCTCCCAAGCAGAGTGCTACGAAACGGGCAGAGAGGCGTGTCCAGGGCCCTCTGGAGGCCTTACCAGCCAGGAACAGCTGCCGCTCTCCCATCTCCACGGTCTCACAAGCACCTCTGTAAAATGGCATCTTCCAAAACTGAGCTGTGAGACAGATGTCTGCTCGTCTTCAAAACGGCTCTGTAATACACCCTGGAGGTAGGAGACTAGCAGGAGGGCCAAGACGGGTTCCAGGCTTCACCACTAGCTAGCTGGGTGACCTTCGGAAATTAACTAACTTCTCTGAGCTTCAGTTTCCTCCCCAAACTTACCAGGTTATTGTGAACATCAAGAGGGATATCCATGGAGGCCCTGGCACACAACACACAGTAGGCAGTCAACAAATGTGAGCTTCTTTAGCCCTGTGAAGGAAGGGGCAACAGGCCCCATCTTCCCCACTGCGCTCGCAGGGCACACGCCCACCCACATGCTGGGCTACAGAAACCGTGCCTGTAGCCACGAGAAAAGGGTGGACACCCACCCATGCCATAAGCCACTGACCGGAGGCTGGCTCCCAGCTGGTATACTTAAAGCTGATATAATAAGGAGATTTTTAAGAGCTTTTAGCCTTAAAATATATGTTACTTATTAAATTTTAAAACTGCTTATTAAAATGCCACATATGGTTTTAATTACACTTGCTCAGATGTCTCAGGATTTTCTACTCCAGAGTCTGTCATGTTAGGAGTTGTTTAACAGGCAGCAGGTATATACACAGCCCACATGATCCTAACCCAGAGGTCTCCTGGGTCCATCCAAGCTAGCTCTCCATGTACCACCCTTGTCTGAGCCACTCTAACTGGGAATCCTGTGGGTTCCCTCTGCCTATGGGGCCTGGGTGGTACCCCTCCTTTCCCACTGCCTTGGGACCAAGCTGGCTGCAGAATCGGACTACAGCCTCAGTCCTGATTGGATGCCCTACAAGATCCTCACTCCTCCAGCCCCACTGCCCCCTCCCCTGGCCCTGCAATTCAGCCCTGGGAACAGATCTTCCAAGTGAGTTTAGCATCCCCAGAGAACTACTTCCCATATGCCAGATGCCTTCATATTTCCCTGGCTTGTATTACTGGGTCGTCTGATATCAACCATTCCTAGAACTACAACCATGTCTGGTATAGCTCCTTGGATGCTGTGACCCCTCTGCCTGCCCTCACTAGACTTTTTGTCTGTGTCCTCCCAGATACTGCCTTCTGCTTAGACCTCCTTCTCTCAAGCCCCTGATGGCAAGAATCTGCCAGAGTTACAGTGCATTCTTCCAAAACCACCCACCCCCATCTCCACCCAGCACGGCTGCCAAGTGCCTGAGTAGATGAACCAGCCTGCAAGGGATCACCTGCCTAGGAAGGCAGGAATCTAGGAGCAGGGAGAATCTGCACTAGGTGAGAGGTGGAGTCAGCAGTAACCCCACCCATTCCGGCCTGGAGAGAAAATGGTCTTATCAATCGCTTTTCTGCTGTCAAACAAATTCTAGCCATGTAAACAAACTATTTCAGTGGGAAAATATCCTTTTTTCGTGGTCATAAGCTGATCATGGGCATTACCATCTGAGTGATGTACTGGATAATTCTGCAACCTGCCCAAAGTAGCTGAGAATCAGTCCAGATTAGGAATTCTGAACCTAGGGGTGGACTGGGGCTTCCATGAGCCACTAGAAACCGTATACAAACTGTTGTGTTCATTGAGGAGAGGGGTTATTACTTTTACCCAATCTCAGAGTCACATGACCAAAAAATTCCTTCTGATCCAGAAAGATTCATGGCTTGCGGGAAGGAAGGTAAAAATACTCTGGTGGTCACAGAAGTGAGTAAGGACCAATAAAGCACCCTTGGCTGGCCAACTTGCATATACTCAGGCCATGGCAGGGATGTGGCTGCTAGGAGGAGGGAATAGACAGCCTTGGGGCTAGTATTGCAGTTCCTCACTGCTTTCACCAGCACGGGAACCTCTTCACTCAGCGGGTGCAAGGACCTTGTTTGCATATAATACTTAGGATAGTAAATTCAAAGAGCTACAAGTTTGACTCTCAACAAACCCCTCCTCACCAGACTTCAGAAATGCCCTGAAGAAGCTGGCAGCAGTCACAGACATTGTTTCACCTCACTCACTCTGTGTGCAAGGTCCCCAGGAGCCGGTATTTCTACAGAGAACTTCTACCATAGTGTCCTATTTCATACTCACACTAGGAGAGGAGTATTATTAGCTCCATTTCACATGTGGGATCAAACAGCTTTTAAAGTTAATGATTAAAACAACAATGAATCAGAATGTCTGGCTCTATCTGGTGTGATGAGGGAAGCATGGAGAACACCTGGTCACCACAAGTGCTTTATCTTATGTAAATCTGAAAGGCAAGCCTCCCTCCAATCAAGGGACAGATACTCTTGGCAACACCGACAGCAGGTCACATCTGTAATAGTCCATCAGAAATCCTAGTCCACTCACAGCTGAAAGGGAAGGGCAGGGCTGGGACAGATGGATGCTGACGTCACAATCTGAGAAGAACCAGGAGGCAACAAAATCTTACTGCACAAGAAAGGCTAAGGGACTGCCTTTGTCACATATCGAGACACAAACAGTACCCCTTTCTCTACAGGAAGAGGCCGGCTCAGAGGGTTCTGCGCATGGAAGGACCTCCTTGACTGCCGGCCAGTTTTTTCACTTCCTAACGTATCAACTGCCAAGCACAATGCTGTCCGCAGGAGTGACATCCAGAAGGCCAACATGTGCTCTTCCTGGTGCCAAGATGGGGACAATGAATTCCTTTTGCCAGTGGCCCAAGGATTTGAGTACGCCTTGCAATGTATACCCAAATGGGTGGAAGGGCTGGATGGAGGAAAGGAGAATTACTAGGGAGAACAGCAGAAACCCAGCTGGGTAACTCTCCAGGAACACCAGGTCTCCTGGTTGGGTCACTCGTGATAAGATGTGGGAATCTGTCCAAGGCCAAGCTCTAGATCGTCAGGGATCCACAGCGCCTCTGGACACCCTCACCCCCTGCCCATAACTTCTCTATAACAGCAGTGAATCTGGCAAACTTGGAGGCAATCGGTATCCACTACATAAACCAGGAGGTGGATAAACTAGGGAAAGATGGGGCTAGGACTTGAAAAGATTATTATATTTTGCAAAACTTACCATTCATGTGTCAACATTTTATATATGTACCCTGAATAGGTAGAGATAATAGAAATATAGCAGAATATACTTCTGATCCTAAAAACGTAGGGGGGAAATTGTAGAGATAGCAGGTGGTGGCTATTATATTTAAAAGCTTTACTGAGTAGCATGTGTATTCATCTTTTTAATGGATGTGTGAGCCAATCAGAACACTGAACACTGAATGGCCCAAGAACAACATGAAACCAAGCAGAGTGCTTCCCTGAGATTTTTCAAACTGGGGCTGAGGGAGACATTCGCTTTTCCCCTTGGACCACAAGCTTTAAGACTATAAGCTTAGAGCAGACCACAGCCACGCCCCCACTGCATGAAGAAACTGATGGAAGAGAATGTGGCCAAAGTGCTGACAGAAAGAAGCAGATGCAAGAGACTTAAGGTCCTAACAACGTTTTCCTTCCCAGACGTAGTCATCAACCCAGGCCGCTCCACCCCTGCCTGCCCAGAGGTAAGTTTCCTAGCTCACACCATTAATGTGCATTTACGGGCTCACCTTATCAGTGTGAGATTAAAACTTGAGATGGAGATGTAACGTACTGTGTTGGGCTCTGTTAGAGATTATGTGTATAAAATGTGATCTCTGTATCTGAGAAATGCTACAAGGAGCCAACATGAACTGATGTTACATGAAAGCATGCATATCATACACCCGTTAATAATAGGGTTGTGCACTCCCGTGTCAGTAATGAATGGAAATTAATGGTGTTTGGCAATCTCTTCCAGGGACTTCCATGAGAGAACTGACCTGTCTTGAGTTTTCATGGATAAAGATGACATGAATTTGCCTCTAGGAAGAGGGAGAGGGATTCATGTTGTTGGAATGTCCTGTGCCACTGGTGTAGGAGTAAGTTCTGCTCCCATGCCCAGCACCTCCCAGCCAGGGGAAAGCACGAAACAACTGCACTCTCAGCCCTGCTTATGTGGCACCAGGATGTTTCCAAAAGGTTATTCTGCTATGTAGAAGGCAACAGGACCCTATTCAGAGGTACTGGCTGAGACATTCCCTTACTGAGGCCAGGTGAACTTTTCCAGGTACAGTCACCTGGGAGGGCAACCCTGATGACTTCTTTCTACGTCAAAGGATGGGAC